CAGTCTACCAGATACCTTTGACCCAGTGTTGACATCACACTTCAAAGAAGCCACGTGACAAGCCTCCCTGGGTCAGTCTACTGAGGAAGACCAGAGTGACTGGTCGAAAGCTCTAAGTGAGAGAATTTTTTGTGTTGTACCAAAAGTTTTAACTTTAAGCAAAGTTAAACCGTTGTTGCCCGTCCCTCCCTTTGCCCCCCCCAGGTTCAGCAGACCCACGTTGACGATGAGTTGATCGCTCGCTCCATAAACGAGAAACTTCGCGACACGCCGGGAATATCGTACTCCGAGATCGCCGCGAAGGCTGCGGAGTGCGGCAGGACTGAGCTCGCCATCAGGGTACGGAATTCTGTTTTGTTCTGTTTGTGCTGGCTATCTGATGCTCTCAAATCCATGTGAATAAAATAAATAAGAATACACAATGTGCTAGACAGCACATCAGGAGAATGTACTGCGCCTGCGCAGAACCCGGGATTTGTATTTTTGGTCAACGTTGCATCAGAATTTTGCCAGTTGCACACAATATCTTTTCCGACACAACATTTGGAAACTACAGACAGGATGTTAACCTTATATTCGCTAGTACGACCTTATATGAGACGTTCTGCCGAAGTGCAATACATTACGGATTTTGCTCAGGTGCAGTACGTTCTGCTGACATGCTTTGCTAGACCTACCTTCTTTAAGTTAAACAAGATGTAACATAATTATGCAATCTGACACCCTGTCTGTAACCCGATCCCAGCTGCTGGAATACGAGCCCAAGTCTGCTGAGCAGGTCCCACTGCTGATGAAGATGGGAAGAGACCAGCTGGCTCTGGCCAAGGCAGTGGACAGTGGAGACACAGATCTGGGTAGGAATGTCTTAACATTTATCTTAAACATATCTTTAATTTGTATATCATAAGGCAGTAAACATACTCTGCTCTGGCCAAGGCAGTAGACAGCGGGGACACGGATCTGGGTAGGAAGTCCCAACATTTGTGTTAAATATATCTGTTCTAACTTGTTGGAAGGCAGGTTAGCATTATAATATTTTTTGCTATATAGTAGTTAGGTTCGCATGTGTTGTACCTTGTACAATTGTTACACGTTTTCGTAAACAACCTGTGTTTTGTTTTTGTTGGCATGGATGGGCACCGCCATTTTGTTTCCCATGATACCCAGGTATTCTGTCATAAAATTTACATTTTCGTTCTAGTTCAGCTGAAATGCAAGATATTCTACAGCCTACTGTATTTATGGCACTCATACACAACTCCACATTGTAACTACATGTATTTATAATTATCAAAAATTCATCAGCATTGCCCTGTGGCTACCTTAAATCATTACCCAAACAGACATTGCAGACAAAACCGTATTTGAAGACATTGATTCTGGGGATATTCAACTTTCATCCTGCTAAAAGTAGCATCCAATGTTTATGAGCTATGGGGTTAGGCAGCAGGGAGATGGTAATAAGCCTACTTGTGGAAATGCCCTGACGTTTTGCCCCCCTCCCCACCCAGTCTACACTGTCGTGATGCACCTCAAGGAGAAGTTGACCTTGGGAGATTTCCTCATGACCATCCGGAACCTTCCCACGGCTCAGAGCCTCTACCTGCAGGTGGGTCTGTTTGTTTGTTTGTTTGTTTATATTTTAGGACACGGTATAATAATAATTATTTATGATAAAGGACAAAGCAAGCAAGTTTTAAAGACCAATCACTCAACAGACTGGGATGGATTAAAGATTATATGAACTCTGTGTAGACGAGGTCACATGACCTATTAGTGATTGGTCATTCAGACATGAAGAAGGCTACAAATGATAGAAACTTCAGAAAATTTACTCTTATCTGTAGAAGTGTTAAGTATTGTAACGTACATGTATTACAAAATAAATCAAGCTACTGGATTACTTTTTTCAGATTTCTGGAAAGGAGGATTTAAGTTTTACGGTGATTTACATTGGCACAGTTTACCATTGCAGTAAGACGATGAAAAGGGTAATAATTTTGTGATGTTTCCACTTCAGTACTGCAAGGAGCAGAACAGAGAGATGCTGCAGGACCTGTACTATCAGGAGGACAACTTCCAGGAGTCGGCAAACTGCCGGGTCATGGACAGCTACAACGAAACGGTAAATAACAACAAATACACAATAAACAATAAATAACACTTCCAGGAGTCGGCCAACTGTCGCGTCATGGACAGCTACAATGAAACAGTAAATACACAACAAATAAACAAATAAACAACAAACAATAACACTTCCAGGAGTCGGCAAACTGCAGGGTCATACACAGCTACAACAGAATGGTAAAGACACAACAAATAAACAATAAACAAACAATAAATAATGCATCCTGGCTTCAGCCAACTGTAGGGTCATAGACAACTACAACAAGATGGTAAATACACAACAAATAAACAATAAATAACATCAAATTAATAACAAATGTTTGTTTGTTTTTAGAGGATGGACGAGCGGCTGCGAAACTTACAGCAGGCCCAGGAGGCCTACACCAAGGCTAGGAATGAGTTCGCTGCAAAGGTCGGTGCAACAGTTTTCAATTTCTGGTGTTCAAAATTTTTGACTAACTCTTACATGCTGATCACATATAAACATGAAGAAATTTCATTTTACTCAGCAAGTCCAACAAATAAATAAAAGTTTCCCCTTTGCAGTAATGTATGTAGAGTCATTAGATCTATACACTAGACACTTTTACCTCTAAGTTTGTTTGTTTATTCCTAAGTTAATTCCTTTGCAATTATTAAACTTCTGGCAAGACTTTGCAATAAAGTTTGGAAGCGACCTTACCAGGACCTGTCCTTACATGACACCATCTCACAGGTCTAAACAAACAAACAAACAAACTTGTCTCACCTGTACAGGTAACAGAGGAGCAGGTGAGGCTGCTGAAGTACCAGGACCTGTCCTTACATGACACCATCTCACAGCTCTAAACAAACAAACAAACAAACAAACAAACTTGTCTCACCTGTACAGGTAACAGAGGAGCAGGTGAGGCTGCTGAAGTACCAGGACCTGTCCTTACATGACGCCATCTCACAGCTCTAAACAAACAAACAAACAAACAAACAAACTTGTCTCACCTGTACAGGTAACAGAGGAGCAGGTGAGGCTGCTGAAGTACCTGGACCTGTCCTTACACGACACCATCTCACAGCTCTAAACAAACAAACAAGCTTGTCTCACCTGTACAGGTAACAGAGGAGCAGGTGAGGCTGCTGAAGTACCAGGACCTGTCCTTACATGACGCCATCTCACAGCTCTAAACAAACAAACAAACAAACAAACAAACAAACAAACTTGTCTCACCTGTACAGGTAACAGAGGAGCAGGTGAGGCTGCTGAAGTACCTGGACCTGTCCTTACATGACACCATCTCACAGCTCTAAACAAACAAACAAACAAACTTGTCTCACCTGTACAGGTAACAGAAAAGCAGGTGAGGCTGCTGAAGTACCTGGACCTGTCCTTACACGACACCATCTCACAGCTCTAAACAAACAAACAAACTTGTCTCACCTGTACAGGTAACAGAGGAACAGGTGAGGCTGCTGAAGTACCAGATGCGGCTGGAGGAGGAGCTGAAGAGACCGTACCTGGACCTGTCCTTACACGACACCATCTCACAGCTGACCACCGAGGGCAACCACAAGCTCGCCGAGCAGCTGCGCAAGGAGTTCAAGGTGCCGGATAAAAGGTGAGCACAGTTTCTTAAGGAGTTCAAGGTGCCGGATAAAAGGTGAGCACAGTTTCTTAAGGAGTTCAAGGTGCCGGATAAAAGGTGAGCAGTTTCTTACCAGTAAGTCTTACATGTAAGTTCAGACTGCTGGTTACGTTTGAACAGAATCTTGATAATTCAGGAGTTAAACCCTTCCCAGAGCTCCCAACCAGCTGGTTTTGATGGCTGAAGATTGTGACTCTGTGAGCTGACCCTTGACCCTTCCCCTATAACCCTGTCCCAAAGGTCATGACCAGAGCTGACCTTTCTCCCCCAGGTTCTGGTGGCTGAAGATCCTGACTTTGTGACCTGACCCTTGACCTGACCCTTGACCAGAGGTCATGACCAGACTTGACCTTTCCCCTTTGACAGGTTCTGGTGGTTGAAGATCCAGGCTCTAGCAGAGGGCAGTGATTGGGCGGAGCTGGACCGTTTCGCCAAGAGCAAGAAATCCCCCATCGGCTACGAGGTGAGACTTCAGCTTATTATTACCTCCGTCCTGGTAAAGCCTGAGTCTTAAAAAGCTATCCGACTATTCATCCAACCTATAGATTTTAAAATAGAAGAAAACAAGCCAGGTGACTTGATGTTTAGAATAGGATGGATTTCAGGCTGCTCCCTACCTCGGCTCACCATGGCAGGGTAGGGCTGATAACATAGTATACACAAAGTAGTCAAGGTTTGTGTGTGCATGCTATGCGCTGGGTGTGTCTGTGTGACAGGTTGACTCCTTGTTTGTTGTGACTCTGCCTCCCTCTGTAGCCGTTCATTGACGTTTGTCTGAAGCACCAGAACAGATAGAGGCCAACAACTCACACTCACATGCACACACTCACTGTCCGCTATGATATAAATATGATATTTCACTGATGTGTTAACTCTTTAATTCCTTGTTTATTGTTACTCTGCCTCCCTCTGTAGCCGTTCATTGACGTTTGTCTGAAGCACCAGAACAGATACGAGGCTAACAAATACGTCGGGCGCATCGCAGACACAGGCAAGGTCAAGGCCTACATCAAGATCGGGTGGGTTCTTGTCTTATGATGACTTGAATAATAATACATCTGCTCTTGATGACAAATGTGCAGTGGTAGTATCATATAAAGCTACATTTAAATTAGTGTGTCTGTTATGATCGGGTTAAGTTAAAGTTAAGAATAAATCTTTTCAAACAACTTGTCCAAGCAACCACTTCTATACAAGCCATCATGGCTATGCCGACTGAAATTTTTTGGTGTGCAGAAGAATTTAGGTGCACAAAACTGCATATTATGCACTCATTATTGCAAGCTGTGAAGAATGTGTAATATATGTCTACATGTCAAGGAACGTACATGTTTACCCTCATTGTTGTTAGAAATGTTGCCACATCGTTATGTTTGTTTGTTTGTTTAGTAACCTGGAGCAGGCCCGACTGATGTCCCATGTTTGTTTGTTTGTTTGTTTGTTTAGTAACCTGGAGCAGGCAGCAGAAACAGCCCTACAGCAGCGTAACGAAGACCTGAACTTGTTTGTTTGTTTGTTTAGTAACCTGGAGCAGGCTTGACTGATGTCCCATGTTTGTTTGTTTGTTTGTTTGTTTAGTAACCTGGAGCAGGCTGCAGAAACAGCGCTACAGCAGCGTAACGAAGAAGACCTGAACTTGGTGCTGAGTAAGTGCACCTCGTCTCATCGAGTCCTCGCCGAGAAAATCAACACCATGAAGGCTCAGCTCTCCAGCAAGAAGTAGTAGAGTAAATAAATTATGGGCCAAGTGACGGAAATTTTATCCACTATGTCCGTAATGACGAGCGTGATTTTCTTCAGCTCTCCAGCAGGAAATGAAGTTAAACGTCTTTCAGAGATGAGTATTACGGCCCATTCCAGTAGCGTGCATGTCGGGAGAGCGACAACAGTCGGGATTCGAACCCCCAACCTCTTGCTCCAGAGGCAGGACCACTAACCACTGGACTACACATTATTGGTCTTCATTCAGAAATTATGAATACTGAATACTGTTTATTCACATTGATTGGCAGTCAGTGTTGCCAGAATTGTGTTACATATTAAAAACTTGAAAGAAATACACATTACAAAGTACGGCAATGACGATTAAATTAAACAGGTTTCAGATTTTCGTGGGTCGGTCCATTTAAAAACAGGTGGATTATTTACCAATCTTGATTACTGAGGCTTACTGCCTGAGGCTTATTTTCTTAGTCTTGTAGTATTATTTGTTAGCTATATTATATGATCATTATATGATTACAAAGAAAGCCAGAGTATAACACGAAGTGCGATTCTTGTGAAGCTTTCTTTAATCAGACTTTATTCTAAGTAAATTCAGCATTCCATGGAAATTCCGGTATTCCGGATGTGACTGTGAGATAGTCAGAACACACGGAATGCACCAGCAGGAATTTTCACAATCATGTTTGTTGAACACATGCAGTCGGCTATTTACACATTTTCTCATATATAATACGATTCAAATTATGTATAATACAAGATTTATGTTCAATAAAGATGATATAGACAATATCACAGACCAACATGAAATAAACGTATGAAAAAAACTGAAGCGTAATGTCTATTTGTACAAAAGCATCAACAATAATAATAATATGTCAGTGGTATTCATTTTAAAGAACAATTTCATGTTCTTTAAAACGAATACCACGTATTATTTTTTTCTTCTTTCACAAATGGTGAAAAAAACATTGCTCAATATGAGTAGAAAAAAAGTTCTGGAAAAATCTGGTCTTTCCAGCTTACGTAATTTCCACACTTTTGGATCTAAATTAATTTATGTCAGAATTATTAAAAAGGCACTAATGAAAAGAAAATTACAGCAAGATCTTAAAATGGACAATTGTGTAACAATAACAATGTGGCCAAATCATATAATGATTCGTTCAAAGTTAGTCAATTTGGGAAACTTTACAATTAAAAGTTTAAACACAATGAAAATGGTTGCTCATTTTAACTCAATGAACATTGTGAATAAACTTTCATTCGTAAAACATTCAAGAGACCAGCTAAGGTACCTTGATTTTACCTGTCTCAATTCTTTTGCTTCGAATAACAAAATTTATCCAAATTTCCTGCTTTTCTAAACTACACTACACTAAAGCATATAGAGACAATGTTCTGATACTTTTGTATATATACAAAATGTACTTACAGTAACTGTTACAAGTCGACATGTGGCACAATTTTGTATGGCGTTTCATGCAATAATACGTTTCATAATGTTACAAAAAACAGTCAACGATTCATGGAATGTGCAAAAATGATTTAGCTCTAATTTTATACACACCGTTCGACTAGTAACACTTTTTTCTGCACCACAGACTCGTGAACACCATTCTCTAGTAACAAGTATTTTCACACCTTTTGACTTTAACATCTTGGACTACCAAATTCCAAAAGACATTTTAACAACATCGTAATCTTTAATCTTTAACATTTTATCCCTTTAATACAGGATGGCTTCTTTCTTCTTGCAAGTCAATGTGGCTTTCTTCACATCCATTTCTTTGCATCAACTTTTACTTAAACATGAATTTCAAAAAATTATTGAACCAAAAATAATAACCACGCCTTCCTTTGGCAAAAGTGTTGCATTATTGCACCAGTGTCACAAAATTATAAAAAAACTTCGTCAACCTAATCAGGCAATTAACAAATAATGTTCCAAAATATCTACAATAACAGATTTTTTTCTTAAATTCCAAGCTGACATTTGTACATTGCACTATAATTGTTTCTACATTTCCTCATTTTGTAACCCTAGAATGATCTCAAGGCTCAGTGTTTAAGGTTTGTTTGGTTGATTAAAAGTTTGTTACGACAGTTAATACAAGTTTCAGCAGTTCACATCACGTGGCAGGTTTTTTTTTCTGCATTAAAGCCATAAGAAAAGTTTGTAACAGCCTGTTCCAAGCTTGACAAACCGGCGTTTGTTCCAGATTTTCTTCTATTTTATCCTTTCTGTACCCAAGGTGACTCCAAAGAGACTATTTGAACATAAAACTTCACACAACAGTGAGTAGACTTTTTTTTTACACAACCGAGTCTTTTAATCAGTCAACGTTTCGGTGACCGTCTGTCACCTTCCTCAAGCCAATTCTGACTGGTTCACATTGCACTGCAGCACAGGCCAACGTTGGCTGAATAAAAACACTTGGTTGTGTAAAAAAGAGTCTCTTTACTCAGTGTCTTACCGACCTGATGAAACTATTCACGGATGTACACAACAGTTTTTACAGGTACAGAGTAAAGTATATTGCTTTGAAACAAAAGTGGCTGATTTTGATTAAGGAAAAGTCCTCATAAGCAGCTTTGAAATGTCACATACGCATTGCTATGGTGGAGATTTTCCACAATTTTCTGTACAACAAAGTCACAATTTCAAAGTCACTCAGAATTTCCCTTATATACTCCTCAATTTTTCCTTGACAATTATAGAAATCTTACTATGACCTTCTTTATTCCGGCTCTACCGGAAAAGAGTTATACAAAGCTACTCTAAAGACCGAAGCTTCCAATTCCAACAATTATCTGAGCTTTTCAGGCTTTATCTGAAAAGCATTTTTGGATCTCTAAATCAACTGTTGATGTGTTACTTCATTAAGCATCCTATTTTTGAAGAATGACGATTATCTATGCAAAATGATTTCCAAATCGCAGTTTAAATGCTTTCCAGTGAAACTGTAATACTACATGTATGTGACATATTATTTCGGCTGTTCTTTCCCAGTACTCCTGTGTGCATGTCTGACTTACAGGATTCATCTGAAAAGCATTTTTTATTCTCTAAATCAGCATGGTTAAGAAGTAAGTTCTTTACTGTACAGTGAACCTTACTGCACTAAAAGTTCTACCTGTAGTGGTCATACCTATGTGGTGTGTGCGGTAGTCATATATGACCAATGTCCTTTCCCAGTACTTTTTGGATTCAACTGAAAAGCACTTTCTGTTCCCTAAACTTTAGTGTTTAAGAAGTAAGTCCTTTACTGTACAGTGAACCTTGAATCTGCACTAAAAGTTCTACCTGTAAGCCTACATGTATGTGTTGTTGTTATTGTGTGACACGTGCAGTGGTCATGCCTACATGTACATGTATGTGACATGTGCGGTAGTCATACATGACTTAATATACATGTATGTCTTTTCCCAGTACTGTATGTTTGGGCTACAGGCTTCATCTGAAGAGCATTTTCTGTTCCCTAAATTATATGTTTACCCTGTAACTAAAGGAAGTAAGTCCTTTGTCCAGTGGTGGATCTACAGTAACTGTTGAACCGTACTGCACTAAATTCTACCTGTAAACCTGCATACGTGTTTGGGCTACAGGCTTCAACTGAAAAGCATTTTCTGTTCCCTAAATCATATGTTTAAACCCTTGTCCTGCTAGCTTTTTTAAACAATATTTTCAAATAATTTCATGTCTTAATTAGATCATAGACCCTTGACTTTTTTTTGCCCTGCGGTGGCATATATGTAGTTACTTCCGCATTCGTTGCGTTTCGCTGCGTAGCGCAAGAAATACAGGGTGCTATATGTGTGGTACTGTAGGTGCAACCCGTATATACATGGGCTTTGGAGGACAAGGGTTTTATTATACATGTAGAAGTAAGTCCTTTGTTGTCAAGTGGTGGATCTGCAGTTATACTGTTACAGTACTAAAGTACCTGTAAGCCAAATCCAGTGGTCATACAATGTACATGTACATGGCTGCTGTCCTTGCTGGGTAGGCCAGGACTCAGGTCAAAGCTAGTTTGTTATTTTATAATTTGTTCTCAAAAAAGCATTTTCCGTTTCCTAAATCAAAAGTTTAAGAAGTTCTACCAGTCCTGTAATCCTACATGTACGATATATCCGGTGGTCACACATGGCTGATGCCCCCCCCCCGTATACCCAGTACTTTTGGGCTACAGGCCTCATCTGAAAAACATTTCCTGTTCCCTAATTATATGTTTTAGTAAGTCCTTTCATGTACAGCTGTACTGCACTAAAGTCTACCTGTAAGCCTACATGTATGAGAGATCCGGTGGTCATACATGGTTACTTTCATTTCTTTTTTGTTCTCAAAAAAGCATTTTGCATCTCCTAAATTAAATGTTTAATGTACAGTTGAACCATACTGCACTAAACACTACCAGTTATCCTACGTGTACGATACACCCGTTGGTCATACATGCCTGGCACTCCAGTACTCAAGTAAAACCTAGTTTGTTTTTTTTTGTTCTCAAAAAATGCATTTTCCGTTTTCTAATGTTTAAGAAGTTCTACCTGTAAGCCTACGTGTACGATATACCCGGTGGTCATACATGGCTACTGTCCTTGCCGGGTACTCCTGTGCTCATCGTCATCATGACTCGCGCTCGTGTCCGAAGCTCGTGGTCGCCCAGTCCCAGGTCACCCTCTACTCCATCCTCTTCTGCTGGGGCCTAGAAAATCATAATTCAGGCTCAATTATTTAATGTAATATTGTTATTTCGATGAAGGCTAGACATCCAGGTAATACGATACGCCAAAAAGCAGTTACTCAAGCAGGTTTATAAGCACAAACTATGGATTGATATGCAAATAAGTGAAGACAGTATAAACCTTATAAAGCTTATAAACCTGCATTTCACCTCTGGTCTCTCAGTCACTGACGAAAGCTAGACTAAGTGGATACTAGCTGAAACGTCTGACCGTTTCCAAAATCATATCCAGTTGCCTGAGTAACTGCTTTTTGGCATGAAGGTTTCTTATATAAACACACAAACCTTTGGTAGAGTGGGCGTGGCGTTGGTAGGCGTGGTCACCACGGTTGCCGTGAGGTCGTTCCCGGAATTGGCGCGACCATACGAGAGCTCTAAATAAACAAACACACAAACCTTTGGGAGGGTGGGCGTGGCGTTGGTAGGCGTGGTCACCACGGTTGCCGTGAGGTCGTTCCCGGAATTCGCGCGTCCGTACGAGAGCTCTAAATAAACAAACACACAAACCTTTGGTAGAGTGGGCATGGCGTTGGTAGGCGTGGTCACCACGGTTGCGGTGAGGTCGTTCCCGGAATTGGCGCATCCGTACGAAAGCTCTAAATAAACAAA